AAAAAATAAAAAATCGCCAATTTTTCCGAAACCTCTATTTTCGGTCAAAGGGGTGGAAGCATTTGCAGATGCTTTTTAAATAAATTTCGGTACCCTTTGCCCCAAGTTTTCCACAATGGGTTTTCATATTTTGGAAAAATTGCGACCATACTCATTTTTGGGGTTGAAACAATTTTTTTGTATTTATCATACATAACTCAATTTTTAAGCGTACAAAAAGCCCCATTTAATTCAAGTAAAATTCCTATTAGATTCAGTTAAAATACCCTGATAATTTTGAATGTCATACGATTTCGCGATCAATTGATAGTGTTATAACATAAGACGTTTCCGTTAGTACTACGTACACTTCATCGTGTACGTATTTCTAACGGAAACGTCTTATGTTATAGGACTACTTTTCCCAGTGTTAACACGAGCCAGATTACCAGACCCAAATTTCAGTGCTACAGATAAAATTTTGTGTATGTTGGGTAATTACTCCTTGTTTTGTAATCTATTGGGTTTTTTCTACTTTCTTAAAGTTAATTCTGTATTTTATTACCCTACCCTCAAACCAATTTGGGTTAATATGAAAAAGGCAAAGCCTCAAAGCGAGCTCGATTTACTTTTACCGTGAAATAGTATAAAATAATTCATTTTATTTAAAATTTTCCGTTTTAAAATTGTCATTGGATATTTTATATACTGTTTCCGTTTTTTGGTTTTCCTGTCCAAAATTATGGTTCTCATATAACTGCACAGGACACCAGTCTATGCTTCCGTTTTTCAATCAGAATACCTCGCAGAATCTGCCAAGAATTTGAAAGTACTGGCCCTGGCCCATTTGGTCTGAAAATGATGGCCATTTTTACCAAAGTATGGCCTTGGGAAAACAAGTAACATTGACCCAAAATAACTGTTAAAAGTTTGGAGATAATTGAATTTCCCTGGAATAAAACTTAAATAATATTTTATGACAAGTGTTCACTTATAATTCAGTACTTAAACCAATAATTAAAAATTATGCCTACATGGTAACTTTCTAACTAATATTAATTGTAGCAAAATATTTTTTAAATGCTGCTCAAAAATTTGATATGCAAATTTATTCACATAATTGCTTGTTCTTACTTGTAATGTCTTATATTGTGCATTATCCATTTAATTGTTCCTAATTGCACCAAATGTCTCTTACCACTGTATATTGACGAATTTTATTGCCCCTTGTATGCCTCTGTGTAGACAGCATACATCAAAGACATTTGCCGACAGACCTTTTGATTATGAAAAAAAGTCATGCACAATGTTTCTCTGATTGGTTAATCACCCTGTCAAATATTCTGATGACGAAATATACATCTTTTTTTACACTTCATCAGCCAAAACTTGCGTGAACTTAAGTGACCTTACTGTTGATCAAGTTGAACACCTATCAGAAACTTACAGCCATTCTTAAAATAGCAACACTTTTTTTTCAGTTACCGATAATCATTTTAAATATTAAGTAGTTGTATAATTTGTTTGTTGTTTTATTGTATTAAATTTACGGTACTAGAAATGAGTATCTGTGTGGGAAAGGGATTATTGAAAAGAAATGCGGTAAGTAGATAACATGGACAAAAGCTATAGGGGAAAATATGCGTAATAACAGGAGCAAGGGTAACATGTTGCTGTTGGTACAAGTTTTGACTGGATGACTAAATAACCCAGCAGACAGTTTTGTTTTCTTATAAGTCTGGCACAGATTTAAGATGCGCCCATGGCCCTTTGCTGCCGATTTTCCTGCGCCATTCTCATTTTTTTAGCGCCAATGGCGCAAAATCGCGTCCTCGGCAGATCTCTGCCTCGGTATTTATTGTTATCTTGTAATTCGAAAAGTTGCAATGTGTCAATTCAGTACTTCGGACGAAAGTTTTCAAAACCATCACTATCTAGCAGGTACTCGCGTTACTGTAAAGCTTGCTATATTTAAAAGCACGAGTTCATGTTTTTTACCCCATTATTTGACCTTCATTGTAGATTGTTGTAGGTTTTGTTTGGTAATAAAAAAGCTACTTACTACTATGCTTTATGGGCCTAGGAGATTTCCAAGCTGTCTGATATAATTTAAAGCTTAAAACAGTCTGAAACAGTATGATCTGCCTGATGTACAGGGTTAAGTATAATTTGCGTCATTACGTACCAGTTCAAATGTTGTTTGCATAAATAAGAATTTATTAGTCCCCTACCGGTTTAACCGGAGGGGACTTTAGGTTTACCCTCCGTCCGTCTGTCCGTCTGTCTGTCCGTCCGTCCGTCTGTCTGTCAGTCCGTCCGTCCACAAAACTGGATCCCGCGATAACGCAAAAAGTACTGAAAATATTTTTATGAAACTTGATATATGGATAGATGGCAGTATGGAGATTATGCATGTCTTTTTTTTTTCTTCCTATGTTGAAAATTCTGGTTGCTATGGCAACAAATAGTCTGAAAATATGGCAAATTTAACACATAAACTGGATCCAGTGATAACTCAAAAGTACTGAAAATATTTTTATGAAACTTGAAATATGGGTAGATGGCAGTCTGGAGATTATGCACATCTTTTTCTTTTCTTCCTATGTTGAAAATTCTGGTTGCTATGGCAACAAATAGCCTGAATTTCAAGATTTCTGATTTAAATTTTTCAGCTTTTTCACTATATGTTCTTTATTTCTTAAGGTGTTTACTTCAAACTTTAAATATAAGTTTCTGGTCATCAACCACATCATATGTGACAAGGTTTATAACTCTAGCACAAAAAATATCAGTATTACCTCCCTTGAACTTAGATTTTTTAGGGGAAAAAATGTTGTCTTTTTTAAATAACTTTTTTATTTCTTAATGTATCTTCTTCAAACTTCATATATATGTTTCTTATTATCACTCAACATTTTTGAGAAGGTTAAATACTCTAGCAAGACTATTTCCAGAATTATGTCCCCCTTGAACTTAGATTTTTTTCGAGAAACTGGTATTTTCACTCCAACTTCTTCATTCCTTATAGGATTTACTTTAAAATCCCACATCGTAATAATATGACAAGGTTGTATAAACATAATTTCCTTACTAAGCATGGAAACTTAACACATTACTGTGATATAGACAAACTTATTTTATTATGTTTTGTGGTCGATATTTTCAAATACAGACTTCATCCTCAAATTCATTATAAATGGCAATACACAGGAGTGTATGACAATTAAAGAACTTTTTGAGGGACCGGTAGGGGACTACTGTATTGCCCGCAATACTATCAAATGCTTGTTTACTTTTTTTTTACCCTTAGTTATTATTTCTATTGCGTTTATTGACATTTTATTTGGCTAAAAACGCAAATATGCATGCTATCTGCAGCCCTGGCTCATCTCCAAAAGAAAATATGCTTAGTTTTTCCCAATCTTTAAAAAAATCCCTATCAAACTGAAATTCCTGTTTTCCAAACTGCCAAATTTGCTGAAGATTCCATAACGGTAATCATGTTTCCACACCTTTCATTGTAATATTTTTATATATTTTTTAAGCTTTGAATGATATTTGCATTGGCAAGAATAAACAGGGATAAACAATGTTTTACAATTTTAAATACTATGCCAAAAAATCATAAAGCAGGGCATTTTTTGTCAAAATTGTGAAAGGGCCTGTTCAATTTGTGAAAAAAAATAGGGCTGCTACGTCATACACCAAAAGTTCGTTTTGATTTCGATTTTAGACACTCCTATTCGATTTTTTTCAATTGGATTCATTTGTGATAACTATTTGAGCCACGTCACAACAAAACCAACATAATGGGTTTGCAACCAGCATGGATACAGACCAGCCTGCGCAGTCTGATCAGGATCCATGCTGTTCGCTATCAGTTTCTCTACTTGTTAAAGGGTTTGTAAGCGAACAGCATGGATCCTGATCAGACTGCGCGGATGCGTAGGCTGGTCTGGATCCATGCTGGTCGCAAACGCATTACGTTGGTTTTGTCGTGACGAGGCTCATTTAGTTGACAATTCTGCTTATTATCCCCCGCCGATGGAATCGGGAGGGGGATATAGTTTTGGCGTTGTCCGTCCGTCCGTCCGTCCGTCCATCCGTCCGTCCGAATTTCGTTTCCGGAGTAGTTCTCTGCAACTAATGGCTGGAATTCAACGAAACTTTATGGGAATGTTGATCAGCATGTGAAGTTGTGCACCTGTGTATTTTCGTCTGGATATTTTTAGTATTTTTAGAGTTATTGCCCTTGACTTAGTAAAAAGTCCGAATTTCGTTTCCGGAGTAGTTCTCTGCAACAAATGGCTGGAAAACAACGAAACTTTATGGGAATGTTCATCAGCATGTGAAGTTGTGTTCCTGGGTATTTTCTTCTGGATATTTTTAGTATTTTTAGAGTATTGCCCTTGACTTAGTAAAATTTTGTAATTTTCAACTTGTGTCGCATGTAACTCAAAAAGTATTTGACCTAGAGTCATGAAACTTTACAGGAATGTTGATCAGTATGTGTAGTTGTGTACCTGGGTATTTTCATCTGGATATTTTTAGCATTTTTAGAGTTATTGCCCTTGACTTAGTAAAATTTTGTAATTTTCAACTTGTGTCGCATGTAACTCAAAAAGTGTTTGACCTAGAGTCATGAAACTTTACAGGAATGTTGATCAGTATGTGTAGTTGTGCACCTGGGTATTTTCGTCCGGATATTTTTACTATTTTTAGAGTTATTGCCCTTGACTTAGTAAAATTTTGCAATTTTCAACTTGTGTCACATGTAACTCAAAAAGTATTTGACCTAAAGTCATGATACTTTACAGGAATGTTGATCAGCATGTGTAGTTGTGCACCTGGGTATTTTCGTCTGGATTTATTTAGTAATTTTAGAGTTATTGCCCTTGACTTAGAAAATGTTTGCAATTTTCAACATGTGTCGCATGTAACTCAAAAAGGATTTGACATAGAGTCATTTCACCTTATTGGAAAGTTGCTCAGCATATTTAGTTTGTTCCTGGGGTTTCGCTTGTGGATTTATCCAGTATTTGTAGAGTTATTTCCCTTGACTTAGTAAAAACTGTTTCATTATGTTGTTATTTGATCCTTGAGTGCTTGAGTTAGAATCAACCAACTTTACAGGAATAATGATCAACATCACTAAATTACGAATAATGAAGTCTGGAGATTAAGATGTTTTTACATCTAGGTGAGCTATTTTGATCCCCCACCGTCCGTCGTCATGCGTCGTCAGCAATTTCTTTAAACAACATCTCCTCAGAAACAAATGACTGCACAGCAACCAAACTTTACAGGAATGATCCTAGGGTGGTCCCCTGCCAAAGTTGATCAAATGGTTCTGGTCTGTTGCATAGCCTTATGTCTTCAGTTGTTGTGTTAATAATAACCAGTACTCGGCGGGGGATATAAATTCAACGAATTTGCTTGTTTGCTCTAAAAGTCAATGCACCTTGACAATTTTGTTTATTTTTATTTTCTTATTTTTTTAGTTGTCTCACTTATTTTTTTAGTTGTCTCAACTTATTTTATCCCTTACTTTTTATGCCCCCCTTCAAAGAAGAGGGGGTATATTGTTTTGCTAATGTTGGTCTGTCGGTCTGTCCGTCGGTAGACCACATGGTTTCTGCTGATTATCTTGAAAACTATTTATCACAAAATCTTCATATTTCACATAGTGGTTGGTCATTAGTAGTAGATGACCTCTATTGATTTTGGGGTCACTAGGTCAAAGGTCAAGGTCACAGGGGCCTTAAATGTCAAAATGGTTTCTGCTGATTATCTTGAAAAGTATTCATCACAAAGTTGTCATACTTCACATAGTGGTTGATCATAACTAGTAGATGATCCCTATTGATTATGGGGTCACTAGGTCAAAGGTCAAGGTCACAGGGGCCTTAAATGTCAAAATGGTTTCTGCTGATTATCTTGAAAAGTATTTGATCACAAAGTTGTCATATTTCATATATATAAATGTCAGAATGGTTTCCACTGATTATCTTGAAAAGAATTCATCACAAAGTCTTCATATTTCACATAGTGATTGATCATTACTAGTAGATGACCTCTATTGATTTTGGGGTCACTAGGTCAAGGTCACAGGGACCTTAAATGTCAAAATGGTTCTGCTGATTATGTTGGAAAGTATTCATCACAAAGTCTTCATATTTCACATAATGATTGGTCACAACTAGTAGATGACCCCTATTGATTTTGGGGTCACTAGGTCAAAGGTCAAGGTTACAGGTCTTTGATGTCAGAATGGTTACCACTGATTATCTTGAAAACTATTCATCCCAAAGTCTTAATATTTCACATATTGATGCATGGGTTATTATAACTTATATTTAGTAGATGACTCACTCCTATTGATTTTTGGGTCACTAGGTCAAAGGTCAAGGTCACAGGGACCTTAAATGTCAGAATGGTTTCTGCTGATTATCTTGAAAAGTGTTGATCACAAAGTCTTCATCTTTCACATATAGATTGGTCATAACTAGTATATGACCCCTATAGATTTTGGGGTCACTAGGTCAAAGGTCAAGGTCACAGTGGCATTGAATGGTAATATGATTTCAGCTTATTATCTTGATTATTATTTCTCACAAAGTCTTCATATTTCACATATTGATTGGCCGTAACTTGTAGATTACCCCTATTGAGTTTGGGGTCACTGGGGCAAAGGTCAAGGTCACAGGGGCCTTGAATGGTTATATGATTTCCACTTATTATCATGGTCACTATTTATCACAAAGTCTTCATATTTCACATATAGATTGGTAATAACTATTAGATGACCCATATTGATTTTAGGGTCACTAGGTCAAAGGTCAATGTCACAGGGGCCTTAAAAGTCTGAATGGTTTCAACTGATTTATCATGAAAAGTATTCATCGCAAAGTCTACATATTTTTCATACTAATTGGTCATAACTAGTACATGACCCATATTGATTTTGGGTCACTAGGTCAAAGGTCAAGGTCACAGGTGTTTTAAATGTCAGAATGGTTTCCGCTCATTTTCTTGGTTACAATTTGTCACAAAGTCGTCATATTTCACATATTTATTAGTCATAACTAGTAGATGACCCCTATTGATTTTGGGGTCACCAGGTCAAAGGTCAAGGTCACAGGGTCTTTGAATGGTAGAGGATTTCAGCTCATTATCTTGAAAGATATCTTGAAAGATAATTATCACAAAGTCTTCATGTTTCACATATTGATTGGTCATAACCAACAGATGATCCGTATTGCTTTTGGGGTCACTAGATCATAGGGGCCTTAAATGTGAGAATAGTTTCCGCTTATTATCTTGAAAACTATTCATCACAGTCTTCATATTTCTAATATTGATTGGTCATAACTAGTAGGTGACCCCTTTAGATTTTGTTGTCACTAGGTCAAAGGTCAAAGGGGCCTTAAATGTCTCATTTTCTTGAAAACTATTCATTGAAAAGTCTTCATTGTTTTTCTTTTTTCCATAATTGAATACTTCAATGTACCCATTTATGGCAAGTTTCTCTAACAAAATTTCCAATAATGTGAGTCAAGGGCTAGAAAGGGGGTCATAATTGTGTTGTTCGACATTTCTTGTTATTTGTAGAAGTGTTCATGAAACTAAAAATGATTTATTTAAAATCGTTTAGAAAACAATTCTAATCAAATAAACTATCACAATAATGTGACTAGTAATCTTATAAATCTGACTTTTTCTCAAACTTAAACAAGGCTTTTTAAACACATCAACATCAGTATACATCTTTTCTTTTTGTATGTTGCACCACATGTTGTAACTGAAGCCATGGTTACATGAAGTTACTTGTACTTACCAACTTTGGACATCTTACATGTTGCTTTGTTAAATTCCGTACCCTCGCGAAACACAATGTGTTCCCACACCTTTCATTAGCTCACCAAAACCAAAGGTTCAGGGTGAGCTATAATTATCAAAGGGAGATACTCCGGTGTCCGTCGTCATGCGTCAACAATCGTCTTCTTCCCTGAAACTGCTGGGCAGCTTTAATACTTAAAATTTGGTCTATAGCAGCCTTTTGACAGTCACACTTAAATTTACTCATTTCAATTGGCCCCTTTTTGGGGTCAACAGATCTAAAAATAGAAAAAACCTTTAAACATCTTCTACAGTACTATAGAACTAATAGATGGATGATCACCAAACTTTGTCTGTGCCATTCTTTGGTAGTCTTTTATCAAGTTTGCTCATATTAATTTGATTGGCCCCTCTTAGGGGTCTCTAGAGCTAAAGGTAGAAATACCTTTGAACATCATTTCCAATGAAATAATTCATATATGATCACCAAAATTAATTTTGTCTGTAGCATTCTTCACAGGCTTGAATATCGGACCTGGGAAGAAAATATGACCACATTGTCTGATAAAAAAAACCCTCTTTTTTTCAGGTTAAATATGTGAAAAACCAAAAAAAACAAAAAACAAAACAAAAACCAAACAAGTGAAATATGAGCCCCTTAAAAATGTACTGTAAGTAAAGAGAAGGCCGGAAACTATAGATTCGACTCTACAAGCAAGGAGTTCAATATATATGTATCATTTTTTTATTTTTGTGTGGGGAATGTAGGAAATTGAATTAAAAGCATATATCAAATGTGAAAACATATTTCAAATGAAAAATACAGCAGTTTACATGGTTTTGGAGAATTTAAAGATGGTTGTAAAGTGGGTTAAGGGGAGGGCCGGGGGGTGTGGGGGGGGGGGTTGGTGACCAATCAATGTGATCTGGGCTAGGTACTTTTTCCCAAAAAGGCAGCATGAAAAGGCCTGTTAAAAAAGTAAGTGCTTGAAAACATGCTAGAATAACTAATTATTCATAATCATAATGTTGCTCTGACAGTGAAATAGGTTAACCCAAGAAGATTTAAACTGAAAATAAAATCATACTTTAAAAATGAAATGCAAGAATAGATACAATTCCTAAACGAATGTATAATTTGTAAGGGAAACAATAAAAATTACTGACTCACTAAAAAAAGATGGATTAGACATGAAGAGAATATGAAACAGAATTATTTCATTTAATATTTTGGCACATTTGTATTGGATTGTCATTGATGATATAACATTTCTTAATTATTATAATCAAAATATTAAACTTGTTTGGAATCATAAAATTCATATTCTAACACCACCCGCATTTTTCCCTATTGAACATAGAAGAACCGAAAGTGTGTGTTATTATGCTATAAAATCACTGTTTGACGTTCTATATTTAGACATGTGACGTAATCATTATACACGTAACGTAACTGCTAAAAATATGACGCGCTGAAAATAAGTACGGAAACAAATCAGGCGCAATTAAGCTAATTATAAGATACGGCAGCATTTATTTGTTGGTGTCGTGTTAGAATCGAAATAATATATCCAAATCAGTGATTTTATTGCGTGATAACATCACTGTTTGTAGTTTAGATGCGCATCATTATATCACACGGGCTACGCCCTCATGATATAATTCCCCGCATCCGAACTCCAAACAGTGATGTTATTGAGCAATAAAATCACAGTTCTGGATATATTATTTCTTAAGTATATTGATTTGATTATGCAAGCAATATATTATGAGGATATTATTCTTTAGAAAAATTTTATACTAATATTTTTTCTTTATGTATATTTTTAAAGGCTAGACAACAAAGATGAAGTATCTTGGAGTATGATTATCGGGCATTTGTTACGCAGAACTAGAGTTATAGCACAGGTCATTAGTAAGGGAATAACTTCCAAAAAAGTAGAAGGCATAAGAATATCCAAATATCAAAGACTGTTCTACTCCAGAGAAATGGCAAGTCCATGTACCACAGACATTGTGAAATCTCTGAATGACAAGAGGGAGTACAGGTTGGTGTAACTTATTTTTTACACTTCAAAGCATTTTTAACAATAGAGTTATAATAAGAATATCTTGATGTTTATCTTAATGATCCTGTAACTCAATTTTTTATGGTTTTTATATCATAAATACAATGCTCAAATGAAGATTTATCAATATTGTAAGTTCCAAAAAGCATTATTTGTATATAATATGACAGAATTTACATTTCATGTTAATAAAGGGAGGTAATTAGAATTTTTTCCCATAAAGTCTAAGTCTAAGTCAAACTTTTCAATAAAAAATGAATGCATATATTTTAGTAATTACATATAATGTAGACAAATATTTGCAGCACATACTTTACACATTCTTTGATGTTTGAACATAATAATATACATATATATGAAATTTCACTTAAGTGTGGTAACAACCTTAATTACAATATACAGGATTTTTAAAGCAGCATACCTCTAGATTCATACTAATTTTCGTGAAAATTTTGAATATTAATAAAGTTTTGATTTTATGTTTTATGCAGATTGTTATTCCTGGAGAATGGTTTACGAGCATTATTGATTTCTGACCTTGATGGTGAGGACCAGTCTAGTGTTGACGATGGGAACCAATCAGAATCAGACGATGAGTCAGCAGGGTCAGATAATTCTGGTAACTACATGGAAATTTCTATTATTAAAGTAAAATCAAATTTAGAAGTACTAAAACCAGTTTAAGTATTTAGTTGCATATTTTTTTTTATTTTTTAACATCTCCCTTAGTCAGTACTAATTAGGGGTGTGGTTAAAGCGTCTTTTTCTCAACCCAGGGATTTGTGGCACCAGTACTGGTTTAAGTTCTTTACAACAGAGTCATAGGGATCAATTTGACTTGCAACAACTTGTTTCATTAAAGATTTTGGTAAATATGTTTCATATAAATTTATATATATGTCATTCACTTAATTTATCTCTCATTGTTAAAGAATTTTCATTTCATCACTACACACAAACGTATGTATAAGAAAATGTGAGTGTTAAATATATAAGTTATATATAGTCCATGTGTTGACAAAGAGAATACAGTGGAACCTCTAAAGAATGACCCTATGCAGAGGATTAACCTTTTTACAACAACAGTTAGATTTCTTCCCAACGTAAGATTTCACAATAGTTTCAACTTCTCTACAGTAACACCTCTCAGTAACAACCTGCAGAGGTTGTACTGAATGTTTGTTTTTGTGATCATTTTTGTGTCGCCTTCAAAAGGCGACATATAGGGGTTACTTTTGTCGGCGGTGTCGGCGGCGTCTGTGTCGTTGTCGGCGTCCCCTAAAGCTTGTCCGGAGCATAACTCAGTCACTATAAGTCTGGTTGACTTCAAACTTGGTATGCATGCTTCTTTCAATAACCCGAAGTGCAGTGCACAAGGACCGGTACTCTGCAGTCCTTAATTTTTGAGTTATTGCCCTTTTTTAATTTTCATACTTTAATTTTGTCCGGGCCATTTCTCTTCAACTAAAAAAGCTATGGACTTGAAACTTCATAGGATGATAGATCTCATTAAGAAGAAGTGCAGTGCACAAGAATCGGTACTCTGCACTTCCTAATTTTTGAGTTATTGCCCTTTGTTAATTTTCATACTTTATTTTTGTCCAGGCCATTTCTCCTAAAGTATAAAAGCTATGGACATGAAACTTCATAGGATGATAGATCTCATTAAAAAGAAGTGCAATGCCCAAGAACTGGTACTCTGCATTTTTTATTTTTTGATTATTGCCCTTTGTAAATTTTCATACTTTATTTTTGTCCAGGCCATTTCTCATAAATTATAAAAGCTTTAGACTTGAAACTAATTATCTTATTGATAAGAAGTGCAGTGCACAGAAACTGCTGCTCTGCATTTCTTATTTTTTGAGTTATTGCCCTTTGTTGATTTTCAAATTTCATTTTTGTCCTGGCCATTTGTCCTAAACTATATTGTTCACAAGGCGACACATCCGACTCGCGGAGTTCTAGTTTTTATCAAGTGAGTGTTGTTTTTTTTATAGAAGATGAGGGGAGTGATATGGAAGTGGATGACATGTCTGATTCAGAAAATGATCTTGGCCAAGAAAAAAAGGTTTTATTTAATAATTAACATCCTTAGAAAAATGAATTGAATTATATTTTAATATAAAAGGCACATTGTACGTTGGAAAAGAATAGAATAAATTTGTCCTATTGAAACTGCAAACATGAGTTTTAGAATGTTTAAACAATAGTTTTAGAGCATGTTAGATGCACATCATTTGAATGTGAAATTATTTGCCATAATAGTTGCAAAGTGTGAACAAAGTATTATATTACTACCATACAAAATTCTAAATCAACATAACAGTTACTGTACTTACTGCCAAAAAGCAACAGAAGCAAAAGATGGTTGTGAGTGATTTTAATACAACGTTCAGTTCTTACTAAATGGCCAAATTTGTAAGAATGTGATGGAATGTCCAGCATCAAAATATATAGTTGGTTATAAAGCAACCTGCTTTTGGTCCCTTGTAGGGTCCAGAGCTAAAAAAAATTAGCCCTTAGACAAGTTCTTTCCTTTATTCCTTTACATCCCAAATTTGTTAAATGAACTTTTCCACCTTCCATTTCTGGATCTGTCTAATATTAACTTCGAGGGGGATTTAAATAACCAACAGGATAGAGCCTGGCCAGAAGGCATGGATATGCTGGCTGGTAAGGCTCTACACTGGTTGCAAAGACTAATCACTTTTGATGGTTAAGCTTCAGAGTTAACATGAGAAAACTTACTATCAGAGTCCTAATTTAAATTCATTGATTGACCTTTTGAAGAAATTCTCTAGTTCATGAGCTCAACGTGTCTTCAGTATCCTTCAATATATTAAAGGCAGAAAATTTTTTAACCTTCAGGACTATGTTTTTTTTGTAGAAAAATTGTTGTGCTGCCTTTATTTACTATCAATTGAGAATGGACATAACACATTCTAAAAATCAGTACATATTACTTTTTTTATAAATTTAGTCGGCAGCTGCTCTGTGCATTGGTGTGGGGAGTTTCTCTGACCCAGACAATATCCCTGGATTTGCTCACTTTCTTGAGCACAGTAAGTACAAAAGTTATCTCTGGTTAACACATCAGACTAGTAATCTAAGGATCTCAATCTGTGTGGGTTCAAACCCCATTATGATCAAGCCATTGTATCCTTGAGCAATAAACTTTAGTTTTATTGCTCAGTACTGGTTGGTTCCTTGAAGTGATTCAAGAGAGTGTCTTTAAGCTTATAAACACAATTAAACTAAGGTAAATTCTGTATAAACTATAGAAAACAAAATTATTAATATTACCTTTTCAAACATAAAATTATTGGATGTTGATATAATTGAATTTCAATGAGCACCTATGACCAATCATCTCTGCTTAATCTTTATTTAGAAAGTTCAATAAATGATTAGTATATGACAATATTTCAGTGGTATTTATGGGAAGTGAAAAGTACCCAGAGGAGAATGCCCTTGATGATTATCTCTCAAAACATGGTGGTTATACAAATGCTTGGACTGATCATGAAAGGGTAAATGCTTGTTTAGTTTACTGGAAATGAAAAAATATATATTTTAGAAAATTTTGGTAAACATTTGCTGAAGCATTCACTGTAGTGTAAAGATTAAAGTTTACTGTGAAAAATATGTTTGTTTCACCTCTAACCCTGTTGATTTGATATAATGAACTTGTCCTGCTTTGATTTGGAACAATCCATTTATATAAGGGGGACTTGTATCATACACATATTGATAAAATTAAACAGCCAACAGTATAGCTCTACACTGGTAACACAGGTTGTCCAGTATAACTGATTGCCTTGGTAGGAATAAAGAATATGATTCCAAGAAGGGAGTTTCTATAAAAGCTTTTAGCTTTCTACACAATCCTTTTAGTATTCGATTGTAATTTGTAATGAGGAACCATAACTCTGTTAAGCCTCATTTTTGAATTATCTCCCCTTTAAGAAAAATCTTGTCCAGGACATAACTCCAAAACCATAAGAGATATCAACAAGAAACTTTGTAGGTTGATAGATCACATTGATTAGAAGTGCAGTGCAAAGAACAGTAACTCTGCATGCCTAATTTTGGAATTATTGCACTTTTTCCAGGGACATAACTCTGAAACTACAAGAGGTGTACTTTTCTGTGTCCAAAACCTATTTGGGGAGCATCACCCGGCTCAAACCGGGCTCTTGTTACATACTCTTATCTGAAAACTGCTGTTTATGGTGTTAGATTTTCTACCTTTCATTATCCCTCCGAAAAAAGACTATCAAAGACAGGTTTTTTTCTAGCACTGGTGTAAACAGTTGATAATCCTGTTTGATACGCCAGAATAATTTCTGTTTTAGAAACTTAAGTGATAAATATTTTTGTTCAGATTTACCCTATTATATTACAGACATGCTTCTATTTTGAAGTAGAGCAGGACGCCTTTCGTAAATCTTTGGACAAGTTTGCTCACTTCTTTGTTGGACCATTATTGCTGCAAGATAGTGTTGATAGAGAGATAGAAGCTGTCGACAGCGGTGAGATTCTATTTTTAGCCTGACTTGATGGGTCTATCCTTCCTCTTGTGTTGATATAACACTTAAGTTAAAAAATGCTGTATATCTTTATATTAACCATGAAAAGTCTCATCAGCATCATAATCATCTTGATAAGTGTTTTTGTTTCACTACCATTTTGATGCACCCACCAAGGGGTTGGGGTATAAAAAAATTGTCATTGTCCATCTGTCCTGGTGTGGTGGCTGAATTGTGCTCTGGTAAATTCAATGTGTCCAACTGCAGTGATCAGGAGTGAAAACTATTTACAGTGTTTTATATAGATAAAATATTTGGTGAAATTAAAATTTGGCCCCATTCCCCCCTCAAAATAGTATGTTTTTTTCCCCCTCAAAACCGAAATTTCCCCCCTATACAGCAGCCTGAATTTGCCTGCAAAAACTATCCGTAGACTGACCAAACAATGGAATGTGCATTTTTGTCCTATTAATGCATATCTAGTTTGCCTAAATTCATAAAGGTATTGCTTAGAAGCTTGGAATTTACTTTATAATAATCATCACCTTAAGTTTTAGGCAAGGGTACATGACTCTGTAATGGATTTTGATAGAATTATGTCCCTTTGTAGTTTGCTGCAATCAACTGTCTTGAAAATCATATTGGGTTATACTTCTTGATGTATTATTTCGCAGAATTTCAAGAAACAGTTTCTAGTGATAGTGACAGACTTCACCACATCTTGATAGCTACAGCTAAACATGGAAACCCTATGTCCAAGTTTCTGCTAGGTAGGTAAATATACTATATATGATTTTTATGTTATATAGGAAATATTTGTATGTCTCATTGTCTGTTTCTAAAACTGAAATATATTATAAGAACTGAACACCAAGTATTTAGGTATAAATTGCTGTTGTGTATAATTTCAGTTTTAAAGATATAGTCAGTTAAAGAATATAATGTGTAAAATTGTCTTTTTCAAAAAGTCCAGTAAGTATGATTGATATTAACTAAAAACTTGGGAGTAATTGTTCACTCGCAAAATTCTAAAAGCCATTTTCAATTTTTAAAACTTTGTTTCAAGTTAACAATTAGTCCAGGTTTAAAGCAGCATGCCTCCAGATTCATGCTGATTTTCATGGAAATTTTGAAAATGTATTTAATAGTAAAATAGTTTGAAGTGAACAAAGAAAGTAATTTACACATTGCAAACGTTGCTTACAAACCACGTAAATAACCAAAAAGAAGGTCAAAATTGTGGAAAAAAACTTTCTGCATTTGTAACGCAGTAGAAATATGGTGATAAATAAATTAAAATCATTTATTGATTGTAAATAACATGTAGATTATTACTTGACTCTTGAATCTTTTTTACATTTCTTAAAATATTTCTCGAGTTTCATTTTCTTAAAATATTTTGAATCATCTGGAGGCATGCTGCTTTAATGAGATTTTATAAACAGCCCAGCTCTAATACAAATTTTACAAACAATCCAGTTCTAATAAAAAAGAAGCATGATTTCAACAATTAGGTCTTTTTTTAAAAAAAAAACAAAACTTTTTTAGATATAGAATTAAATGCAAAAAAATGAATGTAATAAATGGTATTGTAATGGTTTTACAACCAACTTTGTTGTTGTAAGCTTGATACTATATTTGTTCTCACTAAAGATGCCAAACTCAACAGAACTGACCAGTTTTAAAATATTACTCTGTCAGCATGTAACAGGCTTTTATATGTAATTTATTTTAGTTTGTGTTGGAAGCTATAAGCTTATTGAAACACTTTCGAATCCATTCCTGGAACCAACCAATACTAAGTAATGAATGTTAAGTTTCTTGCTCAAAGAATAAAGGCTTGTCCCTGATTGTGTTTGGACCCATGCAGCCACCAATCCTAAGATTACTAGTCTGATGCATTATCCACCACCCAGGCCACCACTCATCTTGTTTTTATAGTCTTTTAAAGCAACATAATTTGTTATCTTTATGTACAGGAAACTTGAAAAGTTTGAAGACTACGCCAGCTGAGAAAGGCATTGATGTATACGGGCAGCTTAGAGACTTCTTCAACAAATATTACACAGCTCAGTATATGACTCTTGCTGTACATTCAAAACGTAGGTCTTGTATCTGTTTAGACACTTTAATCAAGCTTTACCATCGTCAGATATTTGGCCTGCTTCCGGCAGCTTATTTTCACCATGCGACCAAGAGAGACCTAGATCAGCAGTCTAATCATTGTTTGCAATGCACGCAATTTAATCAGTGAATGTGTTGTAATGTTCCTCAAAAGATGAATGAATTGTTTTGTCGAAATTGAAAGTCAATTTAGAATTTTAATATGCAATTCATTCTTCTCTGCAGACTTTATTAATGTAAGAGGAGAAGTTGGTAGTTACTTGTGGAGAAATAGAATAGTTCCTGTGCAATGTCCTGAAATTTCTAATACGGTAGTGCAATCTAGCACTGTGACTTAAATTTATAGGCAAACAAGTAATGAACATTTATGTATTAAAACAAATGAATTGAATTAACTTAAATTCCATATCTTTTTTTCAGACAGTCTTGACACACTTGAAGCCTGGGTCAGAGAGAGTTTTAGTGGTATACATAACAAGTAAGTACATTACAACCTCTACAGAGGAACACCCTGTGGGAGACAAAGGTTTTTATACCCCCAAAGTTTGGGGGGGTATATAGGAGTCACCCGGTGGTCTGTTGGTCGGTCGGGCGGTCGGTCGGTCGGTCCAGACGTCCGTTGCATTTTCCTTGTCCGGACCATAACTTTAAGACTAATAGTTGGAATTCAATATAACTACATACAATGGTCAGGCACATTGAGAGGAAGTGCAGTGCACAAGAACCATAACTCTATCTTGACTAATTACAGAGTTATTGCCCTTTGTTACTTTTCCTTGTCCGGGGCATAACTTGAAAACTACTGGTTGGAATTCTAAACAACTTCATACAATTGTCAAACACAATAAGGGGAAGTGCAGTGCACAAGAACCATAACTCTATCTAAAGTAATTACAGAGTTATTGCCCTTTGTTACTTTTCCATTGCTTTTTTTAACCGGAGTATAACTTGAAGACTAATGATTGGAATTCAATACATTTTCATACAATGATTAAGCACATTGAGAAAAAGTGCACTGCACAAGACCCATATCTCTATCTTGACTAATTACAGAGTTATTGCCCTTTTGTTTGTCTTCCGTGTCTGGAGCATAACTTAAAAATTACTGGTTGGAATTCAAATCAACTTCATACAATTGTCAAACACAGTAAGGGGAAGTGCAGTGCATAAGAACCATAACTCTATCTAAAGTAATTACAGAGTTATTGCCCTTTGTTACTTTTCCATTGCTTTCTTTTGTCCGGAGTATAACTTGAAGACTAATTGTTGGAATTCATTATAACTTCATACAATGGTCAAGCACATTGAGAGAAAGTGCAGTGCACAAGAACCATAACTCCATCTTGACAAATAACAGAGTTATTGCCCTTTGTTACTTTTCCTTGTCCAGAGCATAACTTGAAAACTACTGTTTGGAATTCAATACAACTTCATACAGTTGTCAAGGACATTAAAAGGAAGTGCAGTGCATAAGAGCCATAACTCCATTTTGACAAAATACAGAGTTACTGCCCTTTGATACTTTTCCTTGTCTGGAGCATAACTTAAAACATACTGGTTGAAATTCAAAACAACTTCATACAATGGTCAAGCACAAAAAGAGGAAGTGCAGTGCACAAGAACTATAACTCCATATTCAGTATTTATAGAGTTATTGCCCTTTGATCCTTTTCTTTGTCTTTCTGGACTTATTACAGAGTAATTCAATAAAACTTCATCAATGGCCAACCACATTGAAAGGAAATGCAATATACAAGAACCACAACTATCTTTAATTGCCCACAACCATAACTCTATATTTCAATTCTTTTACAAGATATTCTGTTACTAGTAACATCCTCATTTCCGAAGCAGTCTTGTGGGGGTATTAATCACATTTAGTGATAGTTCTAGTTGTTGTTGCTGAGGGGGTGTTGCTCTAGAGGGGTTAAATTTATTGTGTAGTCTTACTTTGGGAAGAATTGATATGGTTGTTGTAAAGAGGTGATTGCTCTACAGAGGGTATGTCTACCGAAGTTGTACAGCACTTAAAAGTATTCCTTGTTAAATTTATTGGTAATAATGTTGTGATGTGTATGAAGGAATTGATAGTTTTAAATGCAAGAATTCTGACTTTTTCATCTTTTTTTGCGAAGTTAATGAACATATTCCTTTGTAATAATTTCTTTGCAAATTATGTTATTAATGTTAAAACCATGCCTTTATGTAGAAGGATATATTGTATTAAAATGTTATTTAGAGGCGCACATGGAAAATTGGGAACCTAAATGTGTAGCCTCTTACTTACTTACTTACTTACTTTACTTTACTTTACTTTACTTTACTTAACTTAACTCTTCACACTTAACAACTTAACTTAACAACTTAACTTAACTTAACAACTTTACTTACTTACTTATGTCTCTTGAGCGCATTGTTTATATTATGTTATAAAAAGGTGATCTCATTCTTAAATATATACAAAGGTGGCCTTTAACAAGATTTTTTCCTAGGGCCTTTATTTTGAGATGTAACTTGGCACAGATAAGATATTTTATGAGATTACTGGGCTAAGTTTTAAACTTTGTTATTCAATGACATGCATAAAACAATAAATGATACTATATTTCTTTCTTTTTTCCAGTAAGGAGGCCCCAGTTTCTTTTACCAAGTTCAAGGACCCATTTGATACTGATGGTTTTAGAAAATTATTTAAAGGTAGTATTCATGCTGAAAGTTTATATTATTCAAGGTTTACAGTCCATTGTAACCCTTGATTCTGCATGCCTCCAGATGAACAAAAATCTTTCCAGAAAATTTTCCTTAATAAAACTGAACACAGACTTTAAGAAAAGTAGAAATATTGACCATTCAAGTAATAATTTACATGATAAATGTAATGAACTACTGATTTTAGTATTTATCACTATTTTTGAGAGCTATTTGCATATATTGACATTTATTGTGTAATGATCATGATAAAGGATACATGAAACGATGACAATTAATCATTGATAGTATAAAATTCATTTTAATACTTTACCTTCGTCGTCATAACTGTGAACCATGTTTTAATTTACTTAATCTTTAGCACTTAGGCTGCTATAGCAATGAATATACTTTACAATTGAGGTTAGTTAATATGTTGTATTACACTTTACCACTCTGTTTACATAGATAAGCTAAGGAATGAACCTTTGATGTCCAAGGAATAACTATGTCTGTATAATTACTCATTAATTTCTGATGCCAAGCTGAGTTATATACAAATTAATTTTAATGTTTGATTGTATATAGAATATTGTATACAGCTTAATTGAATTGAATGCGTTGGAACCTACACGTGCAAGTAAGCAATGATGTATAATTTCTGCTCATTGCCTGAATGGTTTCACCGTCAGAACTATTTAGTCTGCTAAGATAACTAGGTCTGTTCGACATCTGTAATAAATATAGCCACAATAAATTGTATAGCATTGATAATGACCACCAGTCACTAGATTATGTAACATGTAGCATCAATAACTAATGCCTCACCACCTAGCTTCACCTTGATGATTATACTATCTAGATATTGTATGTGTAGCTATCTTGAGTAAGTACTCCTGGGTGGTGTTTGAGGTTGAATGTGTTTGATGGTCAGGGCTGCTGGGACTAAACAAATATTTTCGTACTCATGAGAGTATGGCAACATTTTAGAAATGTGTTACAGAGACATCCATGAGAGCTCTCACAGATAATTGTATTTAAATTATAGCTGTGTTAAGGTACTTTAAAGCATGCTTAATGTTCCAAAGTTTCCTTAAACCACTGCTTTCTTCACTTAAAATAAGGACTGAATATAGAAAATTGAGAAAATTCTTGAAAACTCCCAAAAATTATATTTCACTATCTACCCAGCTTAACAATCAGGCAAACATTGTTAGTGGCTATTTTTATGGTTAAATATACCATTTAGACATGTCTATGTTAAGTATCGTTTATAAACAATTTCAAATGAGTGTTAGATTTTTTATTTTTTCTTCAAATTATCTCATGGTTTGTGCAAGTAAATTCCCCAATTTCAAAGGGATAAATTGTTGTAATAAAAACGAAACAAAAACATAAAAAAACAACAACAAAAAAACTAAAAAAACTGGATAGTTTAAAGTTTATGGTAACGGACATCCCTGTTGTTTCAGGATTTTATTATTTATTTTTTTACAGGACAAAGCCTATAGAGTATATTTCAAATCTGCTGAACTATGAAGGCGAAGGAAGTATCTATTCTTATCTTAAAAAAAGGTAAAAATTTATCTATGTAATTTGAATAGAGAAATATTTTTTAGGGTTTGGTTTTACGCCCCAACACAGTATGAGTCACATGGTGACTTTCCATCTTTACTGGTGGAGGAATACCTCGATGCCATTCTGTGCATTTTTTCAGACATGAACAGGCACCTGAGTATAAAAATACTGATGCTTGTAAGCTAGCTGGATATCCTCCTCACATGAAAGAATCCAAAGTCCCTGTCTGGATTCAAATCCACAGCAGTGAGGGGGAAGTAATTTGAAGAACTGTCAAAAAATGCTATAGCATGACAGCTCTGAATTTTGTATACATGTAGAACATATTATTGATCATGTGTTATAAAATAATGTATTTAATGACTTTAAGTGTAAGATATTTCCAAATAAAAAGATAAGCATAATTTTTACAAATACATTGGGCTGACTGAATGATAAGCATAATTTTTACAAATACATTGGGCTGACTGTAATTCACCTTTATAAGAAAGAAAAACTTTTATAAATATTTATAAAGAAAACAACTACAGAAGAACATAAGTAAGTTGAAGGGACTTATGTAAAAACTGTGAAACCTCGGGACTTTGACTAATGTATTTGTCTCAATTTTATTGCAAAATTTACAAAAGGTGTAGAAAATGGACCGTGTAAAAAACATGACACATTGAAAAAGTTAATACATAAATATTGACTCATATACATGTATAGGTTTTTATAAAGAATTAGGGGAATTAAAGAATAATTTCATTGTAATTTGACACATAAAGAAAATAGATGATTTCAAGTTCAGCACATAGAAGTTCTACTGTATTATAAGAGAACAGGTAAATAAAAAATTGTGAGACACTTTTCACTGGGAGTGCTACTTTTTAGAATGTGGGCAGTGGAGTTGCTGGGAGGGAATACCGGAGAAGGATATGATATGAACCAGATTTGGACCGGACTGGACATCTGTATCACCCTAACTGACGAGGGTCTTAAACATTGGAGTGAGGTGAGTGGTAATTTTTTTCTTAACTTTTCAAATTATGTGTCCTTGATGGTTGACACCTTTACTGATTTAGCTAAGAAAATTTGATATCTTGGTTTAGCAGACACCAATCTGGCATGAGTATAGTTTACTGTTTATGTTGATTTGAAGAAAAAAGTAAATCACCTTTTGTCTAATTTGTCATTTGTATTTTGTTGTCCCTGCTTATGAGTGATCTCTTCCTTTTTCAGAACTTTATTATCAGAACAGAATATTTAAATTTTATATCTTGGTTAAGCAGGCACCAATCTGGCATGAGCATAGTTTACTGTTTATGTTGATCTTAAGTATAAAGTAAATTACGTTTCGTCTAATTTGTCATTTGTATTTTGTTGTCAGTGCCTTTGAGCCAACTCCCTTTTTCAGAATTTTATTATCGAAACAGCAGGTGTCTAGTGCTCAGAGGCAGCTGTCAAAAGTTTGTCCTGTAGTGTACTTAATCTCAGTGTTGTAATGTTTTCTATAGTCCTTTTGAAATCAGTGTTATCAGTTATCCAGTGATTAAGATAGAATAATGCCGAAGCCAGTGTTAGGGTTATGAGAAATAGAGAATACATGGTTGATGCTGAAAAGGAGAAGGTTTATCTGGTGAGGGAGAAAGTGTATCTTGGCGAGTTTAAGTGAGCCAAGATTTGCTTTCTCAGCTAACTGGATAAATTTTTTCCATCCTGACAACAACCTTGTATTCAATTAATTCTGCTTTTATCTAGTTTAACCATGTTTTTGGATTGTTATAATGTTTTCATTTCACTGATAAAACAATGGCTATATGTAGTGTTTTTTAATTGTTGCTAACCATGTGAAGTCATCATAGGCTAACCATGTGACATAATGACTGGAGATAGATCTATAACTTTATTTGGCAAGGCTTTAACCAGCTGATAATATAGACAGTAGCAGGATAAATGTTGCACTTTTATCTCTTATGAATAGATTCTATCTTAATATAAGTCTGCAATTTTCATGTACTTATTTTGATCTGCCCATTTTAAAATTTCCTAATGGTGAAATGTTATTCATTTTCATGTTGCATATATTCTGTGATGTATTCCAATAGTACAACTAGAACTGACAATATGCATTTTCTATTTTCTGTAAGCAGGTTGTTAAAGTTATATTTCAATACCTGGACCTGATGCAACGAGAAGGACCGCAGGAGAGTTTCTATAATGAACTAAAAGTTATTGAAGAAACAAAGTTTAGGTGGAAAGAGAAGGTATAGTACATTTTATTAAAATGATTTTTTTTCCAAAGTATTATAAGAATCATTATATTCTCCATTGTTTATCCTAGTGTCCATGATAAAAAGAATTGAAATTATCTAGTAATTCTGATTGTAATTTCAGGGAGATCCAGCTGAATATGTAGAAAAGGTTTCTGACAATATGCAGTTGTACCCTTCAGAAGATTATCTTACAGGACATAAATTCTTGTACAAGTTTGATGAAAAGGTTTGTCAGTTTCTGGCAAATATTGTCAGATGTTTGTCAGTTTTATGATATTTGTGGTCATTTATTGCCAGTTTTATACCAAGAATGAGAAACATATTATAATTTTAAGTGTCAGTTATACAATATTTATTGATCTAAATTTTTTATATCAGATTAACAAAAGATCAGTTACTGTAAAGCCAGAAAATATGTGCGAGAGGTTAAATTTTGCTGTTTTCACTAATTAAAGATTTTTGTGGAAAAAATGTTAGCTTAGTATCTACTATTAAAGTTTGCTGAACTGAAAGTAGATGTTTGAGAAATATTTAACCTCGCCAATTAAACTGACATATTGATTTTACAAATTTTAGGCCTTGAGAAAATATCTGTTTTGAAGGTAGTCTTTCTTCACTTTAGTAAATTTTAGTGATTTACCCATGGTTACCACTTTGTTCAGCTATAATAGTGTTTAAAATAGATTTGTGTTGCTGTGACATATGTAGTATTAAACTTTTATTTTATGTTATTTCAGGTTATAAACAATTGTATGGAACATCTAAGGGCAGACAACTGTAATGTTATGTTAACCTCTACAAACTTCACAGAGAGTGATTGCCCCTTGAAAGAACATTGGTTTGGCACTCATTATTCTGTTGAAGACATTCCTAAAGAACAACTACAATCTTGGACTGGTAAGAATTATTTTTAGACGGATTTCTGTATAATGATTTATGGATACTACTGATTGTAGTACATTGTATTCAATTTTAGCCTGACTTTTTTTTTGTAAAAGGTATTGTTACAGTCCTGGCAGTATTACTGTTACCACCGTCCACAAACTTGTACCGTGATCATAACTTTTTAAGTTCTTGTTCATTCCTTGTATTGAAGCATTCTGAGTATAAAAAGGAAAATAAGACTTTTTACATATTAAAGAAGAGTTGAGCTTTGTGAATATTTTATTCAGAATAAAGAAAATTTAAACTGAGTAAAATAGTCATTTTTCTCTCATCACTGATTCAGAAATCATATGGGATTACTAGTCACTTGTGGAGGAATAGGTAATTGTTAGTTATCAAGAAAGTGTTTTGTACTCATTTGTGGTCTAAAATTTCAAAAAAATAAGATTCTTTGAAATACATGTAGCATAAAAACTGGCAGTTTCATCACGGCTGATAAATTAATAAGATTTCAGCAGCAAAGTGTTTATGTTCTCTGACCCCAATACATATGTAAGATAATCTCCGAAACATACTTTTCCTACCAAGTAACCAGCTCATGTTAAAAATAAACAGCACTGGGAGACTGCCACTTTATTAAACAAGCAGTTTATGAATGACCTTCATCATTTAGATCATTGTTGTGTTGATTTATTTATAACAAAAAGAACAGAAACTCGAGTAAATCAGGTTTACTGAGTCGACAATTTTCACTCTTTACCGAGTTTTTATTTGTTTGGGTTGTCAGACCAAACAAATAATGGTAGCGAAATTTCGGAGTCTAATGCTGTTAATTGCAAATGCCTAAGGTAGTCCACTTTTTTGAAGCGGTTACTTCCCTTTATATGTACACTAACGCCGAAAAATTCAGGGGAGATCAATGCGTAAAGATTGTCAAATGACAAGCGCATTAATTTTCAAGCAAAGTAGTTCCCGAATGGTCGAAGATTTCTAATATTGTTACATTCTTTATAGATATACATGCTTACTGTAAGCTCCATGATTATTTACATCTGTGTTTAGCATCGAAATGATAAGTTACAAAACCTAATTTAGAATAATATGGTTTTCTTCGGCCTTTTACATCTAACCTCACCGTGGCCGAGGGGTTTGCCCGCTCGCTTATGAAACCAGAGGTCTCGAGTTCAAATCCCAGTTAAGGCAACTCATTTTTTAGCTCACCTGTCACAAAGTGACGGTGAGCTTTTGTTATCGCTTTTCGTCCGTCGTCCGTGTGTCGTCTGTCCGTCCGTCGTCCGTCCATCCGTAAACTTTTGCTTTAAATGACATCTTCTCATAAACCACTGAGCCAATTTTATCCAAACTTCACAGGAATGTTCCTTTGGTGGTCACCTTTAAAAATTGTTCAAAGAATTTAATTCCATGCAGAACTCTGGTTGCCATGGCAACCGAAAGAAAAATCTTTAAATATCTTCTTTTAAACAACCCTAAGAGCTAGAGCTTAGATATTTGGCATGAAACATCTTCTAGTGAGTGTCTACCAAGTTTGTTCAAATAAAAGCCCTGGGGTCAAAATTGGCCCCGCCCCAGGGGGTCATTGATTTTCCCTTTATGCATATAGTAAAAACTTAAAAATCTTCTTTTAAAGAACCCAAAGAGCTAGAGCTAAGATATTAGGCATTAAACATTTTCTAGTGAGTGTCTACCAAGTTTGTTCAAATAAAAGCCCTGGGGTCAAAATTGGCCCCACCCCAAGGGGTCATTGATTTTCCCTTTATGCATATAGTAAAAACTTAAAAAAAATCTTCTTTTAAAGAATCCAAAGAGCTAGAGCTAAGATATTTAGCATGAAACATGTTCTAATGGGTGTCTACCAAATTTGTTCAAATAAAAGCCCTGGGGTCAAAATTGGCCCCGCCCCGGGGGTCATTGATTTTCCTTATATGTGTATGGCAAAAACTTAAAAATCTTCTTTGAAAAAACCCATATAGCTAGAGTTTAGATATTAAGCATAAAACATCTTCTAATCAGTGTCTACAAAGTTTGTTCAAATAAAAGCCCCGGGGTCAAAATTGGCCCTGCCCCGGGGGTCATTGATTTTCCTTTTTTGTGTATAGCAAAAACTTAAAAATCTTCTTTGAAAAAACCCATATAGCTAGAGTTTAGATATTAAGCATGAAACATCTTTTAGTAAATTTCTACAAAGTTTGTTCAAATAAAAGCCCCGGGGTCAAAACTGGCCCTGCCCCAGGGGTGTCATTGTTTTTAACTATATGTGTATAGTAAAAACTTAAAAAATCTTCTTTTAAAAAACCCAATGAGCTAGAACTTAGATGTTTAGCATGAAACATCTTCTTATGGGTGTCTACCAAGTCTGTTCAAATAAACAAATAAAAGCCCTTGGGTAAAAATTGGCCCTATACAGGTGAGCGACCTCAGGGCCATCATTGCCCTCTTGTTTAATTTTTTTTTTTAAGTCAAATCAACATTGAATTGACTATTAGTGTTGCAATTAGTCTTATAGCCAATTTTCTACAGTTAAAACACTGGAAAGCACTGGTGGTACTATACAAAAACAAATTGGTTTATAATCTCACAGCCTTCACCTTTCTGACATTTTGAGACCAAAACAAATTCAGCGCCTTCTGTGCTTTGATTCAAATCTGTTAAGAGTCTACATGAACATTAGTGTAGTTTGTCCAATCTTATTTTTCTTTCTATTGAAGATTTTGAGCAGAATTGTGAGCTGTTTTTACCAAAGGAGAACCATTTTATTGGTATGATGTTCAGAATATTTATTGCGAAATTTATTACTGCACTAATTCATTTAAGTGACATTTTACATATCCAAAGGTATAAAGTGAGTGAACAGGTAAAAGTCATGGTAAAAGTTTACATTTTGCCACAATTGTTTTCAATTTTATAATTTACATCTCATGAATGATAAATAACTCATTTTTGGTTAGGAAATTTATGTTAGTATTGGTCAGTATTTACCTGTAATGTTCAAATTATAAAAAGAGTATATATTTTAGACAGATTTATATTTTATCATAAACATTTTTCCAATATCGAGTTTTTGTCAGTCATTACGATAGCAGTCAATCTTTTGAAATGTCTAGTCAATTCAGCTCAACTTGACGATAAAAATATGAGCATAATGTCACTTATAGAGTTACCTTATACTAAATTTTTTCATAAACTTGTGTTTCCTGTTCTTTATTTCAGTCTACTGATTTTTTTTCTGTATGTTATTGATACAGGCTGGTCATATAGCATATAATTATATAATTATGATAAATTGGGACATGATTATTTACTAGTCAGTTTTAAATTATATGTGTAGAATTTTTATAGATTTTTTGTAATGGTGTGCCTTTAACCAGGAACAATTTTCATCAAGAAATTCTTATTTTAATTCATTCTAAAGTATAGAAATAAGAACTGGCTAGCTGGGGTATTGTCCCTATGACCATTTTCATTTTGCTGCATTAAGATGTTAAGTTCATGATATTACAATTTGCTGATTTTATTTTTAGCAACAGATTTTACATTGAAAGACCTCCCAGCAGAAGATTTAAAGCCAGTGCCCATGATGGTGTCATCATCTAGTCAACATAAATTGTTCTTTAAGAAAGACACAAAGTTTAATGTACCAAAAGGTAAGGTAATGCAGCTTACATATAAATCATTTATAAATAGGAGATACTTACTTTGAGAGTGTAATAGGCATTGTCATGCAGTTGTACAGAATTGAAGTTCAGAGATATTTTAATATAATTACAAAGGCAATAAGCCTGAGCAACAGTATGATCAACCACTGTAGAATTGAGTGCTTTTAATAAACCAAATTTAAGATCACTGTTCTAATTAAGTGTTCAAGTGTGTATGGCCCAAATTGTGTGCATTTATCATTTTTAACAGAGCTATAGCCCTTTTTGTTTTGTTCTTTTTCCTATAAGATATATTGGCGAAAAATTTCACGTAATTTAAAGTTCCAGTCATTTATTCAAGATGATGTTGACAGGTATTTGCAAGAGCATCCGTCATTGTTTGGTTAAAATTACTTCTTCATCTTTCTTACCTATCAAGTATTTTCATACTTTTAAAGAATGTTTTATTGTTATCTTTATTTTTATTATCTCCTGCAGGATACATTTATATGCATTTGAAAAGCCCTGTTGTCTGTGATAATCTGAAGAGGTAAGGCTAGTTTTACTTATTCATGCTATACATATCAGCTTCTTCACCCCTTGTGGGTGAGGGGTTGCCTTTAATAGTTAAGGCATCAGAATTTCAGTCACTCTTTATTTCTGCGTGATCTTATGGGTTCTGATAACTGGAGTTTATGCATCTCTTGGCTCTAAAGGGTGAGGAGGTTTTGCCCTTGGTGTTGCTTTGCCAAAATCATCTTTCCTGTTTTGGTAACATATGTTGGTACACCGTAAAACCAAACAGAATCACCAGATCCTTCCATTTATAGGGAGTCACTAGAATTGTTTCTCTTTATATTACACATTTCTCTATGCCACAACTTGGAATAATAGTTCCAGGCCTGGTTGTTTCAGAAAAAGATTATATCATGCCTAACTGTTTCTGGACTTCTTTAGTCTTTGTTCATTTGTCAGTCTTTGTTTTTAATCTGTTATATATACGTCTGAATGAAAGCATGAATTTGACTTGCAAAATAACCTTGACCTTTAAATGACCTTATAATTCAAGGTCAAATTTTCAGAAGTAAAATTAACCACAACACAGTCTTTTAATAGGAGTACTGTGAGCAGCTTTGTGTTTTACGATGATTGTTTGAGATAATGAAATGTAATATAATGATTGGATTGGATTGGATTTGATTGAGCCTGTTCATGGACGGTACTGAAAAGTGCAAGTTACCTTCCACGCCCCTAACACTGGGTTAAGCAGAAGTCAACATTTAAACATGAATATGGTGAAATTTTGAATTTAGATACAGCTGCAGATGTGTTCATACAGGGGTTATCATGGAACCTTCAATGTGTCAATTCTGTGCCATTCCATGAAAAGCGGCTTATGGTCCTTGTTTTAAAGTCTTGTTTTAAGTTTTTCATAATTGTTAGCCAGTTACCTTTTCAATCAAAGCCTTATAGTATGATATATGTCTGAATCATTCTTTTGTTTAAAAGAGGATGATAAAAAAAAACAAGTTAAAGATGTTATAAATAGAGACTGCTGAATTTGTATTAGTTTTCATAGTCATTGAGCATATGCTGTTATTTATTTCAGCTCAGCTTTGTTTGATTTATTTATTGCAATACTGAATCAGAATATTTCTGAGCCAACATACCCTGCTGTGGTAGCTGGATACAAGTAAGTTAGCAACAGGTCTTAGATATTCTATATATTATCAATTAGAGCTTTGTTAATTCTGATGGCTATTAACAATCTTTAGAGGCTTTAAATATATGTAAAAGAGGAAAACATTTCTATATATTAGTGGGTTAGATAATATTAGTTAGTATTATGAAGAAATACTAAAAAAAAATTTTTAAATTAGGAAAGAAAAAATACTGATACCAGTACATACTTTGTTTTGTAAAAGGAGTGCTTAGTAATGTATTCTTACCCTGACCTGCTGGACACGAGTTATTATACTTTGCCATAGGTATAGAGCCAGGCCAGCCTGCACATCACTACAGTATAACAAGGTTCTGTGCACTTGGTAGCTTCATTTTTATATTATAATATTCAAGTCTGTCAGTGTTAAGATTGCTCCAGTTTGAAAATTCGCCATATCCATTGCTTAAATTTAGTAGGTAGGGCTAAATTGACCCATTTCAAAAAACAAACTTAAAGGGTCTAAGTCCATGACATGTAAAAATTTAATGAGCTAAGCATTATAGTAGACTGTTTATATATTGTTTTAAACAATCAACAGTGTTGTAAGACTTTACAGATAATATTTACTTGACCAGGCATTATTTAAGATTGTATAAAGTTTGGATGCAAGGAATTATAGCCCAAGTGATATGATGCATATCCAACAGACAAACACTTGATAAAATCACTGATTGGGATATTTTATTTCAATTCTAACACGACATCAACAAACTGATACTAAGCTTAAGTAATTGATTTGTTTCCATACTTCCATACTTATTTTCAGCACGCATGGCAGTTTTAATGGTTATGTCTTAAATGTCAAATGGTTATGTTACATGTCTAGATATAGAATGTCAACAGTGATTTTATTGCATAATAACACACACTTTCGGGCCTTCAATGTTCAAAAGGGGAAAATGCGGATCATGTTAAAAATCATGGGTATCTGTTAAAAATCTCTTGGGCAAAAATACCAACAAAAAATCAAAATTGTCAGACTGCATTGGATCTCAGTTTAGATTGATTTACCCTTATTTTTGGCCTGATATGATTTATCATACTTAACTTCATTATTATAATAACATACTGAATGTTGAAATTGTTGGAAAGAACAAATGAATGTGTTATGAATAATTTTATGGTATTCAGGATTGGATGTATGTGTGATCCAGTTCAGACAGGTATGGTGGTAGAAGTGGATGGCTTTAATCATAAGATACAGGTACATAAAACACTAATTCATCCAATTTGTGTTCATTGTTACGGAAATTTATGAATTGTTCTAACGAGTGAAAAATTGAAAATGTATTAAGTTATTTAAGCTAGCCTGAGGTACTTACTGTTCACAAAAATATCCTGTACCAGGTAACTTGTTGAAATATGCAGAAATTTCTCTTACTCCATGAGTAAAGGGACTGGGAAGGGGAAAATAAAATTTTGATGCTAAAAAAGTAAGTTCTGTCATATTTTGCTAAGACATAATTCTCCTGGGTTGTGAAAATCTATATATTTCTTAACTTTTGAATATATTTGTCTTAGATTTGATTTTTTGACGATTTGTTTCATTAACTACATTTTGTCAAGTACATTTAGATTTCATTGTGATGAAAAACCATAACTCTCTTTTGTATAAATTTGGAGTTATTGCCCTTGGTAAATTTTCAAACTTTATTTTTATCTAGAGCAAAACTTTTATGTCAGCATGATATATCCGCTCACTATCATCATAAAACATTATAGTACCCTACTGACAAATGTGTCATGCAAGGTTTCTTAGATAGAACATGGCAGTTCTAATTGATATTTTTGTCACCAAATTTGACCATTATGTAATTAAATTGATTAAGCCGTAATGCATATATCTACATGTAGGTGACCTTCATGCATGTTCTATTAGTTTGAGCCATAACTTCTATTAAATAGTATAACAGTTTTTTTCGAAATTTTGTCAATGAATTTGGTGCTGAATTACAAACATTTGAATTCTTCTGAACAGGAAGTACTACTGCTGACCTTTGACCTGATTAAAAATTTCTCCTGTGCAGATGACCTGTTTCATGCAATGAAAGCTGAAGTAAAGAAAACCTACCATAATGAGATAATGAAACCGTCGTCTGCTGCAAGGTATGTCCACAGTTTTATTATTGTATGTTATAATACTAATACTTCACTTCCAAAATTTGCAGAAATGCTGTAATTTTATTACCAAATTTTTGTAAGCGTTTGAAAATTCATTATTTCAAAATTAGTATATAAATAAACTCTGAAAAAAAATACATCCTTTTCTTTTACTGTTTTAAAGAATATTGTCAGTGCCTTACTTATTTTTGAATTGCAATTGGTGTTACACTAGGTTAGGGTTTTGCAATGCAACCACTGAAAATATTTACTTCAACTTTCACATATTGGATTGACTAGCCAAGGCCAATAACTAAAGAGATTTTACTGAAATATATCTAGATAAGAGTTCCCATGCAATTTTTGTCTCCCAACCACTGTAATTGTTCATTTCTGGCCAAGTGGTTAAGATCTTTGACTTTAAATCACTTGCACCTCACCCTTGTGGGTTTAAACCTGGACAGGGACTTTCGATTCTTTTATGTAAGAAAGCTATCCTGCTAGTTTATTAACCATTAGTGGTTCTACTCAGGTGCCCATTCATGCCTGAAATAATGCACAGAGGGGCACCTGAGATCTTTCTTCACCAGTAAAAGCTAGAAAAGTGGCCATTTGACCTATACTGTTTTGATGCTATCTTAAACCCAACAATAAAAGATAAATTAACAAAAACATCTTTACACATTTCTTCTTGTTACTGGACCCAAAACTTTAGTATTTCACTGAAGTTTTGTGATGATTCCAGCCTCGCCTAATGGTTAATTCCTAAGAATAGTCATATGTACTTGAGTATGCAGTTAAGATTTTTTAAACAGGAAAAATCTCATTGTCTACAGAATAGCTAGCATGTAATGTACATGCCAGATATATTTTATTTATTTTTACGCTGGGGATATTCTAGAGTTCTACGTTGGATTGTGACAGAGAAGCGTTACTGGTCGCATGCCGACAAATACCGGATAGTAGACGAGCTTACCAAACCAGAACTCATGGATCTGGTGAACCGGTTCCTGAAACAAATTTTTTTAGAATCCCTAGTTATCGGAAACTTTACAAAACAGGCGAGTATTAATATTCTACTTTAATGTCCATCCTTTATAAATCTTCATGATTTACAGTATATGACAGCTCGCTGTATATTGGCTTTGAATGATTCGCACAAAATCAAAATTGTTGAGGGCTTTTAATTCATTTATTTTGGGGAGATATTAAGCCTACTTATGAAATAATTCTGGTTTTTACCCATTTGTTTGCATATACCTGATGTAACTCCAGAACAGAATTCTGGATTTTCCTCCACTCAGCTTTATTATAGATGAGAAATTAAGGTTCTTGACATCAAGCTGTTAAAATATTTCTACTTTATTTTGTTCATTCTTCTATTTATATTAAGTGCTCCTTCTTTATGTACAAGTCCAACTTTTTATGTTCCAAGCTGACTTTGAAAGTCTAGCCCCTTATCAGTTTGGACTGAAATCAGAAGATGGACTTCGATTTCTCTCATGCAAGGAAGCTATCAAGATAGGCAACAGAGTCAATGGTTTCACTCTGGTGTCCACTTATGCCTCAATTAAGATAAAGGAGGGGCTCCTTAGGAGTTCCTTCATTAGTCAGATTTGAAAGTGAACAATGGACGTTGGCAATGTCTGTGTTACTGGAATCAGATATTATGTTCAAATAGAAAATATGGAAAAAATGGCCATGTAAAATTTAATGTGATTTAAATCAAAAGCTCTACCTTTACATCCACAGTTATGTAAATTTAAAGTTCATGAGAAATGGGTAGCAAAGTAGGATGATGAAAAATGTCACCTGAGTGTAATAACCGATTAACCCGTATTAAAGTATATAAGGACTTAACCCATAACTGCATCAAGGTGGTGATATAACAGTGTTTTTGTCAGATTCACTGCTCCTTAATGGTGCATTTATTTCCAGGAGTGTGTGTAGCAAAATTATTATTTTACTGAATTTCCTAAACATATATCTAAAATATTCATTTTACTGAAATGTATATTTTACAGAAATGTTTATTTATTTACTTCAACTTTCAGGAGGCTCTAAGCATAAATGATGAAGTCCTGTCAAAATTGAAAAGTCAGAAACCTGTGGACCAGAAGGTGCTAGAGGTTTGTATTTGTGACCATTGTAACTTGACTTTTCTTCAAAGAATAGGGACAGCTATTGTACTCAACCGGCACACTTTTAAGATTTTGCACACCGGTATCTCTGACCTTTTTAGCTGACTTTTCGAGAAAAGGGTAGAGGTATTAAGATTGATTTGATTAAGATTTTGCACACATTGGTATCTCCAAAACAACTGAAGGGAATGGGTTGAAACTTCAAATACCTGTGATTGTCTAACACAATAGGCACAAGTCCCATAACTCTTGAGTTATCGTTCTACAGAGTTATGCTTTGAAACTGATCCACATTATTATTACATTATATTTTGTGGCTCGGTTTCATAGCACACTGATATTTTAAAGGTTGTTAGCTTTACTGATAAGACCTATAATGCTCCTCTTGTGCACCATTCAAACCATGAACAGGCACATTTACCACCAGCCTCCTTTGGTAGGTAGATTTTTTCTTTGTGTAAAAAGTTGTGTGCCATCAGCAATTTCTAGACTTAACAAATGTTTTTAAAAAGAGTACTTTCTTCAACAAATCCTGGGGCCATTAAAATTAATAATAATTAATATGTTATATTTTCTTTCTAGAACAATCTGATTGCTATTCCACAAGAGAAGCTTTACTGTCAGATCAAGAGTTTCAACCCAGAAGATACGATGTCCTGTGTTCATAATTATTACCAGAGTCAGCCTGGTACCCTGCTGAAGTGTTGTCTCAATGAACTACTCTGTGTAAGTTATGGGAACCAGTAATCATATTTTTATATAGGTTTTTGTTTTTGTGTATGAAAACTAAAAAAGGAATAGCTGTAAATTGAAGTTGTATATTAAGTGTGGCTGTTAATTGGAGTAATTCATGAGGAACAGCTATTTACTTATATCATCAATTAGAAATTTGAAAAAATCTGATGGAAGAGTGATCTTTCCAGAGCATTAATCACAAAAAAAATTAAATGAAAATTGCAGACTCGCTTTGATTGAGTCTGTACTTAAGAGAAAATGAATGAAAAAGTGCAACATCCCTCACGTCCCCTAGCACTGGCTTGAGCGGTACTCAATTTGAACACTTAATACTGCAAATTGTACTCAACATAGTGCTAATTGGACTCAATATTTTGCAAATTGGACTCAATATAGTGCAAAGTGGACTCAGCATTGTGCAAATAGGACTCAATATAGTGCAGATTGGACTCAGCATAGTGCATATTCAAATATCTTGTTAACATTTTGCAAATCATGAAACTTTCTCTTCAAAAAATTTAAAGTTTCTATAGATTGTTTATATACATTATATTGCAGACACGTATGACAGAGCCATGTTTTAACACATTACGTACCAAACAACAGCTGGGCTACAGTGTAAGTTGTATTAACCATATGACATGTGGTGTCATTGCCCTGGGGATATGCGTGGAATGCAAAGCTCAAAATTTCAGGTATTAATGCCATGTTATTTCTTTAATAGTTAAAGTGATGAGGGTCTATAGAATTTAACATGACTGAATGCCACTATGTCTGTGAATACAGTCTTGTTTATACTTCATCTCTAATAGTCCTGCTGCAAACGTATGAAACTTTAAATGTTTTGTTTTAAGTAAAAATAGCTGTTCACATTATTGGCTGACATGTATGGCTGTGATAGTTTATTTCAGAGTTATGTCCCTTGGTTTTTAGCTCGACTATTCGATAAGAATAAGTAGAGCTATTGCAGTCACCCGAGCGTCGGCGTCGGCGTCGGCGTAACCACTTATGTTAAAGTTTTTGTAATAGTTCAAATATTTTCAAAGTCCATTGACATATGGCTTTGAAACTTTGCACACTTGTTCAACATCATGACCCCAACCTGTAGACAGGAAGAGGTAACTCTATCAAGCATTTTGACAGAATTATGCCCCTTTTTCGACTTAGAATTTATGTTAAAGTTTTTGTAATAGTTCAAATATTTTCAAAGTCCATTGACATATGGCTTTGAAACTTTGCACACTTGTTCACCATCATGACCCCAACCTGTAGACAGGAGGAGGTAACTCTATCAAGCATTTTGACAGAATTATGCCCCTTTTTCGACTTAGAATTTACGTTAAAGTTTTTGTAATAGTTCAAATATTTTCAAAGTCCATTGACATATGGCTTTGAAACTTTGCACACTTGTTCAACATCATGACCCCAACCTGTAGACAGGAGGAGGTAACTCTATCAAGCATTTTGACAGAATTATGCCCCTTTTTCGACTTAGAATTTATGTTAAAGTTTTTGTAATAGTTCAAATATTTTCAAAGTCCATTGACATATGGCTTTGAAACTTTGCACACTTGTTCAACATCATGACCCCAACCTGTAGACAGGAGGAGGTAACTCTATCAAGCATTTTGACAGAATTATGCCCCTTTTTCGACTTAGAATTTACGTTAAAGTTTTTGTAATAGTTCAAATATTTTCAAAGTCCATTGACATATGGCTTTGAAACTTTGCACACTTGTTCACCATCATGACCCCAACCTGTAGACAGGAGGAGGTAACTCTATCAAGTATTTTGACAGAATTATGCCCTTTTTCGACTTAGAATTTACGTTAAAGTTTTTGTAATAGTTCAAATATTTTCAAAGTCCATTGACATATGGCTTTGAAACTTTGCACACTTGTTCACCATCATGACCCCAACCTGTAGACAGGAGGAGGTAACTCTATCAAGCATTTTGACAGAATTATGCCCCTTTTTCGACTTAGAATTTACGTTAAAGTTTTTATAATAGTTCAAATATTTTCAAAGTCCATTGACATATGGCTTTGAAACTTTGCACGCTTGTTCAACATCATGACCCCAACCTGTAAACAGGAGGAGGTAACTCTATCAAGCATTTTGACAGAATTATGCCCCTTTTTCGACTTAGAATTTACGTTAAAGTTTTTGTAATAGTTCAAATATTTTCAAAGTCCATTGACATATGGCTTTGAAACTTTGCACACTTGTTCACCATCATGACCCCAACCTGTAGACAGGAAGAGGTAACTCTATCAAGCATTTTGACAGAATTATGCCCCTTTTTCGACTTAGAATTTACGTTAAAGTTTTTGTAATAGTTCAAATATTTTCAAAGTCCATAGACATATGGCTTTGAAACTTTGCACACTTGTTCACCATCATGACCCCAACCTGTAGACAGCAGGAGGTAACTCTATTAAGCATTTTGACAGAATTATGCCCCTTTTTCGACTTAGAATTTACGTTAAAGTTTTTGTAATAGTTCAAATATTTTCAAAGTCCATTGACATATGGCTTTGAAACTTTGCACGCTTGTTCAACATCATGACCCCAACCTGTAAACAGGAGGAGGTAACTCTATCAAGCATTTTGACAGAATTATGCCCCTTTTTCGACTTAGAATTTACGTTAAAGTTTTTGTAATAGTTCAAATATTTTCAAAGTCCATTGACATATGGCTTTGAAACTTTGCACACTTGTTCACCATCATGACCCCAACCTGTAAACAGGAGGAGGTAACTGTATCAGGCATTTTTTTTACTATCAAGCACTAAGAATAGTCGAGCATGCTGTCCTACCGACAGCTCTTGTTAAGTAATATTATGTACTGTTCAGTCATGACTACAAGTATTTCATCTGAAAATTTTTCACTTGTTTTTAGCTGGACTTTTCATAGAATAAGGAAAACTGTTGAACTTACCCAGGCATTGGCATATGTGTCACAGTTTGTTTAAGTTTTTGCATGCAAATTGTTACCAAGGAATCGGTTAATACTTTACACACTTGTTCTATGTGATTATCTTACTTGATGAGCACAGGTCCCGTAACTCTTGAGTTTCCTTTTCACAGAGTTATGTCCCTTTTCTTACTGTCAGGCACTGTAAATAGTCCAGACTTCTGTCTTATGGGTAGCTCTTATTTCATCATATGTGTAACATAATTAGAATTCAAAGTAAAATGCATTAATCAGCCAATAGAATAAAGCGTCTTCAACAATATTGACCGCTACACAACTAGTAGTTGTAATACAGCACACACATTGTCATTTTAACTAGTATCCCCATGCTTCTTATGACCACGATTGATGTCTCACTAGCCATTTCATATCATTCTGTTTCTACATAGATGTAAATATATTCGTTTTTTTTTTTTTAGATTTAACCTTGTGGAAATTTTTAAAATTCACTTTTTGCAAAATTCTGGTCTTGCCGTTATACCGTAATTTACAGTACGAGATAATTTTTTCAGTATGCAATATGTGGATGAACAGATAGAGAAATTCCTGCTTGAGATGAAAGATATCCTGCAAAGTATGACACAGGAAGAATTTGAAACCTTGGTAATTTATGAAATTTTCTTCATTTTTCTCATTTTTGCCTTAATATGCATTTTTATAACCTTAGGGAGGGAGAGACAAGGTTGAAATTGTTCAAGAAGAGTCAGCTTGATTTTTTGCCTGAAATAATGCACAGAGGGGCACCTTAGGTTATCCTCCCACCAGTAAAACAGGAAATCACTGTATGACCTTAAACAGTGTCAGTGTAACTTTAAATCAGACTCAAGAAAGATAAAATGAAGAAAGACAAAAAGGAAATCATTATTCAGGAGAAAAAAATATGAAAAGTTGTGAAAAATGATCTTATAGTATTGTTATGGCATGGTTTGGAACTTTTCCTTTGTTCTTACTAACCCATTATACTCAGTACACTTCAATGAGCATTTGAAAACTGTATTGATATATAGCAGTACAGTTTTTCATTGTTTCATATAGGAAAAAACTCGACTGTTATATATCGGTTGAGTTTTTAGCTCACCTGTCACAAAGTGACAGGGTGAGCTTTTGTGATCGCTTTTCGTCCGGCGTCTGTCCGTCGTCCGGCCGTCCGTCCGTCCGTAAACTTTTACTTTAAATGACATCTCCTCAGAAACCACTAAGCCCATTTCATCCAAACTTCACAAGAATGTTCCTTTGGTAGTCACCTTTAAAAATTGTTCAAAGAATTTAATTCCATGCAGAACTCTGGTTGCCATAGCAACTGAAAGAAAAAACTTAAAATATCTTCTTTTAAAAAACCCAAAGAGCTAGAGCTTAGATATTTGGCATGAAACATCTTCTAGTGAGTGTCTACCAAGTTTGTTCAAATAAAAGCCCTGGGGTCAAAATTGGCCCCGCCCCAGGGGGTCATTGATTTTCCCTATATGCATATAGTAAAAACTTAAAAAATCTTTTTTTAAAGAACTAAAAGAGCTAGAGCTAAGATATTTAGCATGAAACATCTTCTAATGAGTGTCTACCAAGTTTGTTCAAATAAAAGCCCTGGGGTAAAAATTGGCCCGCCCCAGGGGGTTATTGATTTTCCATATATGCATTTAGTAAAAACTTAAAAAATCTTCTTTTAAAGAACTCAAAGAGCTAGAGCTAAGATATTTAGCATGAAACATCTTCTAATGGGTGTCTACCAAGTTTGTTTAAATTAAAGCCCTGGGGTCAAAATTGGCCCCTCCCCAGGGGGTCATTGATTTTCCCTATATGCATATAGTAAAAACTTAAAAAACTTTCTTTTAAAGAACTCAAAGAGCTAGAGCTAAGATATTTAGCATGAAACATCTTCTAATGGGTGTCTACCAAGTTTGTTCAAATAAAAGCCCTGGGGTCAAAATTGGCCCCGCCCCAGGGGGTCATTGATTTTCCCTATATGCATATAGTAAAAACTTAAAAAAATCTTCTTTTAAAGAACTCAAAGAGCTAGAGCTAAGATATTTAGCATGAAACATCTTCTAGTGAGTGTCTACCAAGTTTGTTCAAATAAAAGCCCTGGGGTCAAAATTGGCCCCGCCCCGGGGGTCATTGTTTTTCCTTATATGTGTATAGCAAAAACTTAAAAAATCTTCTTTGAAAAAACCCAAATAGCTAGAGTTTAGATATTAAGCATGGAACATCTTCTAGTGAGTGTCTACAAAGTTTGTTCAAATAAAAGCCCTGGGGTCAAAATTGGCCCCGCCCCGGGGTCATTGATTTTCCTTATATGTGTATAGCAAAAACTTAAAAATCTTCTTTGAAAAAACCCAAATAGCTAGAGTTTAGATATTAAGCATGAAACATCTTCTTTTGGGTGTCTACCAAGTTTGTTCAAATAAAAGCCCTGGAGTCAAAACTGGCCCCGCTCCCGGGGTGTCATTGTATTAACTTATTATGTGTATAGTAAAAACTTAAAAAATCTTCTTTTAAAAAACCCAATGAGCTAGAGCTTAGATGTTTAGCATGAAACATCTTCTTTTGGGTGTCTACCAAGTTTGTTCAAATAAAAGCCCTTGGGTTAAAATTGGCCCTGCCGGGGGGGGGGAGGGGAAATTGCATTGTTTTTCATTATATGTGTGTAGTAAAAACTTAACATCATGAAACATCTTCTAATGGGTGTCTTCCAAGTTTGTTCAAATAAAAGCCCTGGGGTTAAAACTGGCCCCGCTCCGGGGGCCTATATACAGGTGAGCGACCTCAGGGCCATCATGGCCCTCTTGTTTTCGCACCTGGTAGTTTTTTTCACAGAGGCTCCAATGGGGCAGTGGTAGCGAACATTCCCAGTAGCAAAAAAAAAATGGAATCAATTAAATAAAATAAAAAAAAAATAAATACAATGAAAAATATAAACAAAGATAATTAATGAAATGAAATTTACTTTCATTTAATCAAAAGGTACATCTGCTGAATGAATTTTTTCCACTGAAAAAAGCCCTTTAATCTTGAATCAATATTGGTAACAGTTTACAATCCGCCTCTAACATTGGATGTCTATTACATAACAGTTAGGTTAAAGCTTTAACTATCTCTATTTTAATATATATGAAAGTACAGAAAAGAAGATCAACTAAAATGTAATACGGTAGATATTCATTCTTTATTTTATATTTGTAGATAGAATCTGAGATAACATTGAAGAGGACAGAGGACACACAGCTAGAAGAGGAGACCTCTAGACATTGGAGAGAGATTGTCGATCAAACCTACGTCTTTGATCGGCTAGAAAAAGAGGTGAGCTGTATAGTACATGGTCTATATGTTGTTACCTTTGATTTATCAGGCGCCCGTTTGTGTAAATGTTTGAAAAATGTGCATTGACAGTCTTAATTTTTTGTCCCAGAAATTGAATTGCATGCATCTTAAACTGAGAAGGGGTATTCGGTTCATATTGCAGTCATATTTTTGATTTTTGAGAAATTAATCATTGTATGCAAAACAGGTACAAGAAAGATATTAAAAATTGTGATTATACTTATTCTGACAGAAACTGTGGAACAATAAAAAGTATGATAGAAATTCAGAATATGACAGTGACTTAACATGCCATTCTTAAAAAGTCAGCACTTTCTTTATGGTTGTAATTAACTATCATGATACATTTTTTTTGTGGGGTTGCTAGATTAATTGATTTAGCTTACAACATTTAAAGAAAAGATTTGTGGCGGTTAGATTCGATCATAACACATCTTTCAAAACTTTCGATATTGATAAATATTACATCCAAAAATTGTCATCATTATTATATACGAGTGAAATGAAATAAATATTTAAATTATTCCTTTTTTCAGATAGCTGTTTTAAAGACGCTTTCATTGAAGACTTTACAAGACTGGTTTACAGATGAATATTTGGGAGATAAACAGAGAAAGATTAGTTTTCAGGCATGTATTTTCTCATGGCAAACAAAGCCATGCATATTACGTTTCTTTCAGCTTCTTTTGGTCTGAAGAATTTAACTTTTATTTTGTAAAATTTGAAATAATTTTCAGTTGAACAAAATAAGCACGAAGATGACAATTACATGAAAAGAAATATAACAAAATGAAGATTTTTTATTGATATGGTTGAAAATTAAAAAAATATATATACATATATTTTTTGTAAAGGCTAGGTTTCATTAGTAAGCATTTGCCTATTTAAAGTGGTTTAGATTGGAACCAACCAATATAGTGTTATTATTTTTATTTATTTGGGTCATCAGACAAAATAAATAATGGTAGGGAAATTTTAGACCCTGATGTGCTTATTTGCAAAAACAAAGTAGTCCAAACTCCCGAAGCGGTTACTTCCCTTTATATGTACACTAACGCAGAAAAAGTAAGGGGAGATCACTGCGTAAAGATTGTCAAATGACAGGCACATTAATTTTAAAGCTTTCTCGGGGAAAAAAAATTGTTCCCGAATGGTCGAAGATTTCTAATATTGTGTTATTCTATATAGATATACATGCTTATATTAAGCTCCATGATTATTTACACCAGTGTTAAACAAAAGGTTTACCATAAACAAAATATATCGAAATTAATAAGGGTTAGAAACCCTAATTTAGAATAATGAGGTTTTCTTCATTAACATATACATGTAACTTCACTGTGGTCGAGTGGTTTACATGCTCGCTTATGAAGCAAGAGGTCTGGAGTTCAAATCCCAGTTAAGGCATCTCATTTTTTTTTAAATTTTAAATTGTTTTAGTCAAATAAACATTGAATTGAATATCAGTGTTGCAATAAGTCTTATAGCCAATTTACTACAGTTAAAACACTTTGATTTTTTTTAATATTAATGAAGGTTGGTTTTATTTGTCTGGAGACTTTTTTTCTTTGTTTAATGACATGGGGGGGGGGGATTTAGACTTTTATCGGTTATTTTCTGCTTAACACTCGGAGGCAGCTTTGGTTTTTAAATTTATGAATGTTGATTATGGGCTAAATAACCTGTTCAGAATCTTTATAATAAACATGTATGTCTAAACACGGATTTAATATAAATCCAACACGGATTTAATATAAATCCGTGGTCTAAAATACGGAAATGTAATGCTTAGTATTTTCTTTGAATGACAGCACAGCACGGCTTTTATAAATTCAATAATAATCTTTATGGTATGTTTCTATAAGGAGGCACATTTCAGCTATGTATAATGATGTGTACAATTATGTATACTTGTAATTTGCAGGTGATTGGTTGCCAAGAGAATGTTGTTGCAATGAAGCATCTCAGTGACACAGATCATGAAATCAAGTGTTTGATAGACCCTGATCAAAGTCTGTCTACTCCTATAGATGATATAAACTCGTTTAAACAGTCCTGCAAACAACTTCCACACACCAAAGTAATTTCTTGATAATTGAACTGTTGTTAGATATTTTTATCAAGGAATAAAGTTTTATCTGTTTATGAGTTGTGTTCATTGTCATTATTCACGTATATTATGTTGTATTGTCCTGTGTCAAGATTAAAAAAAAACATCATATTACATATGTAAAATGTACATAGGAGAGGCATATTTCAATTAGTGGCAACAACTTGCTCTATTTTTAACCATGATTTGTATGTGAAAGTACATGTATAATATACCCTGGAAAGATTATTGATTTTTCTAACCAACAGTCTATATTGGCAAGATTTGCACATGCAATAGAGATTTAGCACATGTAGATCTACATGTGGTTTTGTATACTGGTTGTAAATATGGCTGAGTTGCATTGTGACTTGAGAGAGGAGCAAAGTGCTTTTTGCAAAATTCGTGGGTTATTGGTTAAATGCCTGTCAGAAATAAACACGTGTCTAGATTTAGTTTATGGAAAGACGCCCTTCCATATTGTACAATTGTCAGGTAGATGTCAAATGTTTAAGGGAGTTAAGGATAATCTCCGTCCTGACCGGCAAATTTCCGCTACCTCTGAAGTCTGAAAAAGGCATCAGCACTGTCAAAGCCATAGTTGATGAAGATGCAAGATATATCGCAAAGGAGATCAGTGAAAATAAATTTATAACCCTACTTGCACTGTAGGCGGACGATTTTTTTTAGCTTTTACTAAAATTTATAAACTGATTGCCACTCTATCATTTGTAGGTCAATTTCATATGCAAATATCTTAGTTTCTAAGTCAAATTTTGGGAAACAAACATTATTTCACGCTGAATGAAACTTACCAATTGGACATACATGTATATCAAATTGTTGTTGTTTTCTATAACATGGGGATTGAAATGACGTTGTGGTTATTTCTATACTTACAGTCGAATCTTATCAAGCCATTGTACAAGTACTGAAAAATATTCACGAGCTAGATAAGAACCTCAATCTTTTATATTCATAATGCCATATTACCTTTGGGGCTATAAGAAGGTGCTTCGCGAATATGTTTCATATCTATACGAATAGCATACTTCCTTGGCCGAATTCATTACTTTTGAAACGAATAATTGCCAAGGAAAGTCCACTTGACAGTTAAATGACCCCGGCTTAATATTGCCAAACACTTTTATCTTGTATATGTCATAAATGGAATATAAGTTGATGAATAAAGAACACGAAGAATGATATTCAAATATTTATTTTTTAACCTCAATATTACGTGTATAATCGTTTATCTTTGTACTTCTCGAACAAACAAAAACCAAATATGACCAACATCCCTACAGCGCCAAGTTTACACGACCAAGATACCAAGTAAGTCAACCAGCCTGATTTTCTAGGTGGATTTCTTTTCTTTCTTATATAAGCATAACTGCTTGAACTTGGAACGATTACATTTTTTTCTGGATGTTCATGATATAAGTGTTCTGTATCTGTGACCGGAATATATCGAATGGTTTTAAATCTTCGTTGAATTCTGGGCATTTCCATGATGTACGTCGGGGCAACGCTTGCTAGCAAATTACGAGCGTTATTGTCACACAGGGAATTATTGTTTTTGTTGTATTTCGAAAATGCATGATGTGTTAAATTATTGGCCAACTTTTCAATACTATATTCTATGTCATCAGTGCATATATTAAATGATAGTTCATTTCTTTTTTCTTTGTTAGATATATCATCCGTGTCTTGTTTGTTTAAACGTGTATTTTCCGTTTCGTTATTTACTGCAAGAGTATTACCATCCTCCGTTTCGTTATTGACAGCAGTGTCTTTATTGACTTCATCACTCTCCAGTTCATCTTCTGCATCTTTTATATAATTATAAATACAACCTTGAGACCTTTGTATTTTCTCTTCTTTTATCAATTTACCATTTTCTGTGTCAAACTTTTTGCTTTTAACCCTCTCGATATTCATGTTTATATCCACATCGGAACCTGGTAATTTATTTGAAAACTCTTCCATACCTGTGTCCACGGATGTTCCAATCTTGATTGGTTCCTTTGATAACGAGTTTACAGTTGCGTTTATATATTTATTTGCTGGTTCCTGACAGTCATGTACACGACGCGGAAGAACAAGATTCTTACAGCCTCTGTGTGGGAACCAGATTTTGTTTCGTGCGGTGATCACAGGTTTCCGAACCCAAACCGTGTCCGGAAAAATACGGGTTGTTACTGATTTAGACAATTTGGCTTCTGAAAGTAGAACAAAATGTTTTACGACCTTGTGACATGAAACAAAACGAAATATAACCCTTCAACAAATTTCACAAGCTAACTTTTATGTTTCAAATAAACTAACAGATTACTTTTACACTAAATGAGATGTTTCATGATTGAATATATTCACGGGGGAGGAAGTGTTACACGAAAGATGGAGTTCTTATGATAACTTGTTCGGAGTTCTTATGATAACTGTCACGGAGTTCCTGGAAAACGTTACGGATTTCTGTGGAAAACTTTTCTATATACTTGGAGAACTCGCGTAAAAAATGGTTATTTTTAACTTTAAATGGGGAGTTTGAGGTGCTAAATGAAACTTTGATAATTAAGCTTGCCCTACATATTGTATTTTGTTTCAGAAAAAATCGTTAAGTCCATATTTTGTCGCCTTTTTAAAAAAAATCTGGTAGTTTTGAGAAAAATTACCAAATTACTTGCTAATTCGTACATATTGACCTTTTCATTTGTGATCTTCTTCGTTGCTATACTTAATTACCTAATAATTATGGAGAGATGCAAACATAAAGCCCGGGCTTATAAATTTATACCCGACTTTTCAAATGTTACGGAGTTTTTGCGATAACTCAAAATATGTCCTGGAGTTCTTATGATAACTTTTGTTTCTGCCAGTGTGTTTTGTGCTTAATCACGGCACGTTTAAGCGTATTTTTATTAGTCAATAAGTGTGTAAATCATTGTGAAGCATAGTACGCTTATCATTTGCAAAATAATTTGGTTATATAACGTTGGTTTTGATCGTGTTTTTCAGTTCAAGAGATATTTTTCTTACCTCCGTTTCTTGTGGTTTTTTTTTGTGTTTGTTTTTGTCTTTGTGTGTGTGTGTGTGTTTTTTTATTTTATTGGAATGACTGTAAACATACTTGATGTAGAGCATTTACTTACAGGATAAAAATACGCTTTGAATTTAATACTCAAGCATGATTTCGTCATATATGCATTATTTCTGGCAGTTTTAGAGAACATTAAGTAACTATGCTATCGGTATGCATGTAAATGGTTATCAGCAAAATAGTAGGTAGTATGCACTACCCTTATCTAAATTTAATGAGGTGGGTGTCGTCTTTATGTATTCAACGGGTATTTCAATTTCTAAAAGGTATCAGTTTTTGTCATAGAAACGTATAAAGTTCTATGACAATGATATGACGATAGAAAGTAAGTCTTTAATAAGATATGTGAGTCACCGTAAGGTTCATGCCGTTTATCGACCTTGTTCCTTTCTCTATTAAATCCAATGTAGCATCACGTGACGTATAGCAATTTCCATATTTCGGAAAATTACTGCATACATTTTTCTTATCAAAGTTGGAGTCCTAGTGGAAATTTTGCAACAACTTTTGCTGTAATTGATTACAAAAATATATTGTCGAACTTCTTTCGCTCGAACACGTAGGGCACGTGCAAATCTGTCGAAGAGATCGGTAGTAATCGGTTGATTTTTTATTCATAAAAAGATCATACATTTCGGGTGCATGGGTGTGAAGGATATCCCGGTTATATACGTTACATGGTATATAATGATACAATTTACTTAGCCGCTTCTTGAGGGAAGCCCAACTACTTATTGTCTGCTTTAGAAAGGCGGTTGCTTAAAACAAGTTATCTGAGAAAAAAAGTGTAAGTTTTAAATATTTTTTCCTTGGCGGTTTAAGCCATGTTACTGCTGAATACAGGTGACCGCTGATTCAGGTTTTCCTGAAGAATTTTGTTTGTTTGTTTGTTTCATTTTACGCCTTTTCCCAACAGTATTTCAGTCATATGGGCGGGTAGTTTCCATCGTTCCTGGAGAGATACACCAGTACTAGACTACCTTCCTCCGTGCTAAACTACCAAAGCATCTCCCGGGGATCGAACCCACGCCAGAGAGGTAACTGGATTAGAAGTCATCGACTCAAACCCCTCGACCACGGAGGCGGTCGTTCCTGTAGATATAACTTAGCACCTGTTTATCCTATGTAGACTGTACACCAAAGCAGTTTCATGTCTTCTCCAGATATATTCATTGATCGTGTTTTAATTTTGCCACATGGCCTCAATGTTGCATTTGCGGAAACTTATGACATAAAACTTTTGTTGACGAACAGTATACACAGAAACATTTAGTGCATTCGTTGGGTTTTATAATGTCAATATGATTTCGCACAAATTTAATTAGGAACTAAAACACGATCAAAACCAACGTTATATAACCAAATTTTTGTGCAAATGATAAGCGTACTATGCTTCATAATGATTTACACACTTATTGACTAATAAAATACGCTTAAACGTGCCGTAATTAAGCACAAGAAACACACTGGCAGTAACAAAAGTTATCATAAGAACTCCAGGACATATTTTGAGTTATCACAAGAACTCCGTAACATTTGAAAAATCGGGTATACATTTATTAGCCCGGGCTTTATGTTTGCAACTCTCTACTATAATTAGGTGATTATGTATAGTGTTGTGCGGCCGAAAAATGATAAAATTCTTTTACAAAAAAAAATGAATAAATATGCATGATGATTTTCTAATAAACACAAAAATTTATAAATATAATCATTTTCTTAAAGGTCATATTTTCAAAACAATGTGTGAAATTTCAAATTTGTTAAGTTACAGATATAATATGTTTTAATAACAGATGTCAAATAAATAATTATGTAACCCGATGAAGAAATGTGGCTTTTCCTCCTTGTCCAATCAATGGTGCTAAAAATTTTATTATATTTAGGTGATAATGTAATTTTAGCCGTCTGTACTTAATAAGTAGTTAAACCTTATGACTGAGGTGATGATTGTTT